CTAATACAGTCCAGCATTTTAAATTAGCCTTCCAAATTTCTGATGTAACGTTTTGCAAATTTTAGTGTATTTTTCCAAAATTCTGTTGTTAATTTTTGACCAAATGAACATAATCTCCCATCTTGATCACAAGTTAAAAAAAATATCAAAAGAAATTTTGCACATTTACTTAGTGAATGGTGTCAAAAGATGTCTTTGACGTTTAAAGGGTTAATGGTAAAATGTTAGCGTATTTTTCTAAAACTTAATTTTGAACCAAATTATTCTCTCAGTTCAAACAAAACACAACAACAGTTTTGGCGGATAATTAATTTTGTTTTATTCACTAACGAAACAATGAGTTTTGCTGATCATGTTCGCCAGCCAACAAGACAAAAAGGCAGAATCACAAAACTGAAAATAACATCAAGATGCAATAAAAACTAACAAAACTAGCAAGTAAATCACGAAACCGAAAGAATCAATCGATGCACGTGAAAAAAAAAGCTAATAAAGAAAAGCAAAATAACGATTCGAGAAAAAGCAAATAAAATTTAAAAAAAAAAAAAAATAAAACATTCACTTGCGAAAAAGCCCACCTCGGACAACAAGCAATGAAAAGGGTGGGTGGGTGGGGAAATCGAAAAGTTCACGGTTGACTTGAAAGCAACAAAGGACGCTACTAACTAACAATACAAAATTGCGCATGCGTGAAACAATCAATTTGCATAAATACAACAAGACAATTGCGCATGCGCGCAGTGCAAATAATAAAATTCACGGGAATAATTAACCATTTTAAAATACAAAATTACACAATTATTCTCTCAGTTCAAACGAAACACAACAACAGTTTTGGCGGATAATTAATTTCGTTTTATTCACTAACGAAACAATGAGTTTTGCTGATCATGTTCGCCAGCCAACAAGACAAAAAGGCAGAATCACAAAACTGAAAATAACATCAAGATGCAATAAAAACTAACAAAACTAGAAAGAAAATCACGAAACCGAAAGAGTCAATCGATGCACGCGAAAAAAAAAGCTAATAAAGAAAAGCAAAATAACGATTCGAGAAAAAGCAAATAAAATTTAAAAAAAAAAAAAAAAAAATAAAACATTCACTTGCGAAAAAGCCCACCTCGGACAACAAGCAATGAAAAGGGTGGGTGGGTGGGGAAATCGAAAAGTTCACGGTTGACTTGAAAGCAACAAAGGACGCTACTAACTAACAATACAAAATTGCGCATGCGTGAAACAATCAATTTGCATAAATACAACAAGACAATTGCGCATGCGCGCAGTGCAAATAATAAAATTCACGGGAATAATTAACCATTTTGAAATACAAAATTACACAATTATTCTCTCAGTTCAAACAAAACACAACAATAGTTTTGGCGGATAATTAATTTCGTTTTATTCACTAACGAAACAATGAGTTTTGCTGATCATGTTCGCCAGCCAACAAGACAAAAAGGCCAAAATAATAAAAAACCGCCAAAACTGAAAATCAAAGAGTCAGTGAGAGATTCCCTTCCTCAATTGCAGTGCGTATGCAGGCAGCAGTACGGAGACGATGGCCGAACGACGATTCCATATACAATAATCGAAAAGTTCACGGTTGACTTGAAAGCAACAAAGGACGCTACTAACTAACAATACAAAATTGCGCATGCGTGAAACAATCAATTTGCATAAATACAACAAGACAATTGCGCATGCGCGCAGTGCAAATAATAAAATTCACGGGAATAATTAACCATTTTGAAATACAAAATTACACAATTTAGCACGTTTTTATTTTATTTGTATGCAAATGACTAAATTGCAATTTGTGGTCATGTTTTGTTAAACTCACATCCTGTATTGAATGCATCACTGAAATACAAAAAAAATATTTATAAGTAGTCCAATAGAAAAAAATAAAAATGCTACCTACATACCCAATATTTCATTAGCATAACCACGGTTACTAGCAATCGTCGCCTGATATTAAAAAACTCAGAATTTCCTTAGTGGAATAGCACACTAAGGATAGTACTACAAATGTACTTGTGTGTGTGGCACATTTATTTTAGTCTCAGGTTTGTTACCATACATTGTCATGTTTTTTTCTATTGCTTATCTTAACATAATATTAGTCCTTCTGAAAAAAAAACACGTTTTATGCACAACTGATATTTATCCTGAAACCATAAAAATTACCACAACATACCATTACCTACAAACTTTAATATATGTACACTAACTATCATGTACCAGTTCTACTATGCTTTTTATTTGATATTTGGCCGAGTATGAGGATGGGTGCACATTTGCATTTGTCTCGTGTTTAATTGGATCAAAAAGCAAATTAATATGTATATGTTTGACATTATGTCTTGTTTGAAGGAAACTGGATGCTGGATAACTGCTATAATGCACAATGTACTGGAGTGTGTGACAGTTTGTCACATGACAAGACACTTTATAATAAAAAAAAATTACACTGATCTGAAACTATTTTTTTTTTCATTGCTGCAGCAAAACCAGTAAGCTTATATTGGTGATACATGTAACAGCTGGGAAGAAACTAAACACAAGTTGGCATTATTGCCATTGGCCAATGTAACAGATGGAAAGTTTGATAGAAGTTAATAGTGAGGATCCATTTCAATGCACTGTGTGTGGAAAAAACTTGGGTCGCAAGTGGGATTTAATACGTCACATGAGAACCCATACAGGGGAGAAACCTTTTCAATGCAGTCAGTGTGACAAAACCTTTTCTGTTAAAAGTTCATTAGATTGCCATGTCAAATTACACAGTGGAGAAAATCTACACCAATGTGATTTGTGTGTGAAGAAGTTTGCAAGACGTTGGGACTTACTGCGTCATCGGGAAACGCATACAGATCAGCGACCATACCAGTGTTCTCTGTGTGGTAAGAGCTATTCCGTGAAAAACAGCTTGGACTGCCATATGAGGATACACAAGGAAGAGAACCTATTCCAGTGCGCAGTGTGTGCAAAGGGCTTCGCACGGAAATGGGATTACCTCCGCCATGTTCAAAGCCACACAGGCGAGAGGCCATATACATGTGAACTGTGTGGGAAAACTTTAGCATCAAAAAGCAGTTTACGATACCACAGACAAATTCATGAAAATTCTGAAATATATAGTAATAACACAGACATGATAAATGTATATAATTGCTTAATCTGTGACAAGAAATTTTCACGCAAGTGGGATATGTATCGCCATGTAAGAACGCACTCCAAAGAGAAGCCATTTAAATGTTGTGAATGTGAGAAGGACTTCGCGGTTAAAAGCTCGCTTGATTATCACATGAAGTCACATAATAAACAGTATGTCCACCAGTGTGTGCTCTGTGCAAAACATTTTGCAAGAAAATGGGATTTGATTCGTCACATGAGAATACACACGGGTGAAAAACCTCATCAGTGTTCGGTATGTGAAAAAAGCTTTTCTATAAAGCAGAGTTTAATACGACACATGGAAACACATACCCAGGAGAAAAACTGGTATCCATGTCTTCTGTGTAACACAAAGTTTTTTGAGAAAAATAGCTTGGATTATCATATGAGAACACATTCATTGGCGGTCGTGCTTGAAAATTGCACTCAGAGCCTCATTGATGATTGTGGATTTCGATTTCTCACCAGGAACATGGCCCCGAAATTGCCAAATCATGAAAAATGTGCTAATGGAGAATACTATTTACCCACAAGTTATAAATGTTCTGAAAGCGCAAATTGCAAATTAGAAGCAACAGGGAAAATGTACAGTTTGAGTGAAGTGCAGGTTGTTGAGATATTTCGTCTTACATTTTAATTCGAAAAAAATGTACAAGTAATATTCAAACAATTTTCTACTCTACATACAAGGGTCATTTTGTAAATATTCTGTTAATAAAGATAAGAAGGTAGGTTCTCTATCTGGATGATCTTTTGTGTAGTTGACTTCATTACGAACTGAGACGTTTCCAAGCTTTAATAGGTTATTTTCAGGTGAATGAGTCACCGGTGGTAATCAGTGCAAGTTGCCCCCAGGTCAAACCTCATACCACATTGGATTGTGGGTAAATCAATGGGTGAATCTTTACACAAACAATGCATGAAGTTGGTGACTTACAGGTAAAACTGGAAAAACAGCGGTTTGGAAACGACCATCCTCTTGTAAACACCACATTTTACAAAAAGCAACCTTGTAAATGTAACACCTAGTTTGAGTCTATTAAAAAATACGGCCAAGAATGGAACACTCAAGATAAAATCACAAACCAATAGCATCTGAGCTACTGTGGATTCGGATAGAGGCCCTCTGCAAATTATAATAATGGGGCTTCATTGTTTTCACAATATGCATTGCAACTTTGTATCAATTTGAATCAACCTTTGTTCGGTGCTAAGCAATTGCTAGCTGAATTTTTCAATTTTATTAGTCCCCGTTCGGACGTAGTCCGAAATGGGGACTTATGTTTTG